ATCCTGCAAGGGCTGCTACACACTCATTTTGGAACAAGTCAATTACACACACTTACAAGGAAATTATATTGAAAAAAACAAAGGTGCTCCCTGGGGTGGCACTGACACCCAGTTTGGAACGGCGCAGAGATTAGCACGGCCCCTGCGTGAGGGCGTCACCCAGACTCGTCAAGCCCTCTGTACTTTTCCAGGCTGTTCTTATAAAATGCGAAAATGAAGGTGCTTATTAACAACGAAAAGGTAATACTCAAAAGTGGCCACTTCCTAATTGCAGTACCACGGTTTGACTCTTACTTACGCTTTTTTTTTCGATTTAAATTCAAGTTAGTTAGCATACGGTGTAGTATTGGTTTCAGGAGTAGAACCCAGTGATTCATCGCTCACATACAACACCCAGTGCTCATCCCAACAAGTGCCCTCCTCAAGGCCCATCCCCCCACCCAGCTCCCCTCCAGCGTCTCCCAGTTTGTTCTCTGTATTTAGGAGTCTTGGATGGTTTGCCTCCCTCTCTGTTTTTATCTTATTTTTTCCTGCCCTTCCCCTATGTTCATCTGTTGTGTTTCTTAAATTCCACGTATGAGTGAAATCCTATGATATCTTTCTTTCTCTGATTGACTTATTTCGCCCAGCATAATACACTCTAGTTCCATCCACGTTGTTGCAAATCTGTCTCGTGTACGTGTGCTGGGGTGCCGTGCGGTGATGTGCTGGGGACACCGGGAACATCTCTTCCCGCCTCCTCCCCCGGTGACTTCACTCTGGCAGCTCAAAATTGGCCCGGATGGCTGTGTTGACACCGTGGAAATGCAGATGCTTCCAATCAGGGCTTTTCCCTCTTGAGGAACCAGTTGAAAACAGCACACTCCCCATTGTACGCACTTGCGTTTGCGCCGTTTCTCTGGACTCTCTTCTAAACGCCCGACAAAAAGACTTTGGAAGAAATTATTAAAATTCAAAAACGATTTTAGGGGCGCCTGGGTGGCTCAGTCGGTTAAGCGTCCGACTTCAGCTCAGGTCACGATCTCGCGGTCCGTGAGTTCGAGCCCCGCGTCGGTCTCTGGGCTGATGGCTCAGAGCCTGGAGCCTGCTTCCGATTCTGTGTCTCCCTCTCTCTCTGCCCCTCCCCATTCATGCTCTGTCTCTCTCTGTCGCAAAAATAAATAAAGGTTAAAAAAAAAATAAAAAAAAAAACAAAAAACGATTTTAGTTTTATTTTACTACATTGACTTCAGTAAGTTCCTATAGTTGCTTTAAAAGGTACTTTAATAACCGTAAAAGACTTTAACGATCGACTAATTTTACGAGTAGTCTTAAAAGATACTTTACAATCACTCTCAATCGTTTCGCTTGATTCACAGTCCCGGTTCGTGCAAGTAAAGTGGGTTGATCAGCCTTAATGTTGTATGTAACTGTACCACTTTATTTCACAGTTTTGCTCAACTTTCCAGTTGTCTGGTATCTTTGTCATTTCTTCTTTCTGAACTTCTTTCATTTTCGCCATTAAGCTTGGGAATTTCTGTTTCTTGTCTCCGAAAGCTATAATCTCGTCTCCTTCAGTGTTTTCTTGCTCTTTCTTTTTCGGTTCTCCTCCTTTCTAGACTTCCGTCTCTTTCTCAGAAATTCATGGCCTGATGTTTTTCTGACCTCTGCTCTTTTTTGCCCTTCTTTTTTTTTTTCCCCCGTTTTTCTTCACTCACCTTTAGGAGCCTCTCTGCTCCTGAGGCTGAACCGTGAGTTACACGGTCTCCTCCTTGATGGCCAGGACCCCAGCCCCCTCCCGGGCATCTGGGGTTCTGGAAGCCCACCTGACTGCTTCGGCTGCAGTCCCGTGTTATTGGCAGCAGAATCGTTAAGTAAGAGGAGCTCGCAGGATCATCCGGTCTTCTGTGCCTCTGGCCTTGTATTCCGGGACGAGTTAGAACAAGAGGCATCTTTGCCTCTCTATTTCCTGCTCCTCTCCTCCCCACCTCTCCCCTCCCCTCTCCTCTCAGGGACCGCGGGAGGCCTCTTGAAATAAATTCACCTAATGCATTGTCATTTGAAGAAAGAACACACCGGAGGAGAAAGGGTTAGTAGTACTTAAACACCCTCTGCCTTCCCCCTGCTGATCCAGGCTGGAGGGGCGCCTGTGCAGGGAGCTGCCTTCTTGGGCCAGAGTGGATCTGACTGTGGCTGGCAGGTGCTGTCCCATCTGTAGCGAGCCTGAGCCCTGTGCTCGGTGAAGAGTCCGGCAGAGAAACTGCTCTGGTCCTGTGCCCACAAGGAGCAGTTCACGGTGCTGCCTTCCTCACTGGGGAACTCTGTCTTCTCCAGGTACTTATACCTACAAGGAACAGTAGACTGGTAGCCAGCCTCCTGGCAACTTGTACTTCGTGAAACACAATGTCTTAGATCTAGCCAGTGCTGCCAAGTTTTTGATTTGATTTTGATTTTGATTTGATTTGATTTTTTTTAATATGAAATTTTTTGTCAAATTGGTTTCCATACAACACCCAGGGCTCATCCCAACAGGTGCCCTCCTCAGTACCCATCACCCACCCTCCCCTCCCTCCCACCCCCCATCAACCCTCAGTTTGTTCTCAGTTTTTAAGAGTCTCCTATGGTTTGGTTCCCTCCCTCTCTAACCTCTTTTTTTTTCCTTCCCCTCCCCTATGGGTTTCTGTTAAGTTTCTCAGGATCCACATAAGAGTGAAACCATATGGTATCTGTCTTTCTCTGTATGGCTTAGTTCACTTAGCATCACACTCTCCTGTTCCATCCACGTTGCTACAAAAGGCCATATTTCGTTCTTTCTCATTGCCACGTAGTACTCCATTGTGTATATAAACCACAATTTCTTTACCCATTCATCAGTTGATGGACATTTAGGCTCTTTCCATACTTTGGCTGTTGTTGAAAGTGCTGCTATAAACATTGGGGTACAAGTGCCCCTATGCATCAGCCCTCCTGTATCCCTTGGGTAAATTCCTAGCAGCACTATTGCTGGGTCATAGGGTAGATCTATTTTTAATTTTTTGAGGACCCTCCACACTGTTTTCCAGAGCGGCTGCACCAATTTGCATTCCCACCAACAGTGCAAGAGGGTTCCCGTTTCTCCGCATCCTCGCCAGCATCTGTAGTCTCCTGATTTGTTCATTTTAGCCACCCTGACTGGTGTGAGGTGGTATCTGAGTGTGGTTTTGATTTGTGTTTCCCTGATGAGGAACGACGTTGAGCATCTTTTCATGTGCCTGTTGGCCATCTGGATGTCTTCTTTAGAGAAGTGTCTGTTCATGTTTTCTGCCCATTTCTTCACTGAATTATTTGTTTTTCGGGTGTGGAGTTTGGTGAGTTCTTTATAGATTTTGGATACTAGCCCTTTGTCCGATATGTCATTTGCAAATATCTTTTCCCATTCCATTGGTTGCCTTTTAGTTTTGTTGCTTGTTTCCTTTGCAGTGCAGAAGCTTTTTATCTTCATGAGGTCCCAATAGTTCATTTTTGCTTTTAATTCCCTTGCCTTTGGGGATGTGTCATATAAGAAATTGCTGCGGCTGAGGTCAGAGAGGTTTTTCCCTGCTTTCTCCTCTAGGGTTTTGATGGTTTCCTGTCTCACATTGAGGTCCTTTATCCATTTTGAGTTTATTTTTGTGAACGGCATAAGAAAGTGGTCTAGTTTCATCCTTCTGCATGTTGCTGTCCAGTTCTCCCAGCACCATTTGTTAACGAGACTGTCTTTTTTCTATTGGATATTCTTCCCTGCTTTGTCAAAGATTAGTTGGCCATACTTTTGTGGGTCCAATTCTGGAGTCTCTATTCTATTCCATTGGTCTATGTGTCTGTTTTTGTGCCAATACCATGCTGTCTTGATGATTACAGCTTTGTAGTAGAGGCTAAAGTCTGGGATTGTGATACCTCCCACTTTGGTTTTCTTCTTCAATATTATTACTTTGGCTATTCGGGGTCTTTTGTGGTTCCATAGGAATTTTAGGATTGCTTGTTCTAGCGTCAAGAAGAAGGCTGGTGCAATTGATTGGGATTGCGTTGAATGTGTAGATAGCTTTGGGTAGTATTGACATTTTAACAAGATCTATTCTTCCAGTCCACGAGCATGGAATGTTTTGCCATTTCTTTGTATCTTCTTCAATTTCCTTCATAAGCTTTCTATGGTTTTCAGCATACAGATCTGTTACATCTTTGGTTAGATTTATTCCTAGGTATTTTATGCTTCTTGGTGCAATTGTGAATGGGATCAGTTTCTTTATTTGTCTTTCTGTTGCTTCATTATGAGTGTATAAGAATGCAACTGATTTCTGTACATTGATTTTGTATCCTGAGACCTTGCTGAATTCATGTATCAGTTCTAGTAGACTTTTGGTGGAGTCTATCGGGTTTTCCACTTAAAAAAAAATTTTTTTCAACGTTTATTTATTTATTTGGGACAGAGAGAGACAGAGCATGAACGGGGGAGGGGCAGAGAGAGGGAGACACAGAATCGGAAACAGGCTTCAGGCTCTGAGCCATCAGCCCAGAGCCTGACGCGGGGCTCAAACTCGCAGACCACGAGATCGTGACCTGGCTGAAGTCGGACGCTTAACCGACTGCGCCACCCAGGCGCCCCGGGTTTTCCATTTTAAAGTAATCTGTACACCCAGCATGGGGCTTGAACTCAACCCTGAGATCACGAGTCACATGCTCTATGAACTGAGCCAGGCAGGCGCCCCCAGGTTTTTATTTTAAATGCTAAAGTACTGAGTTAAGAATATTGTAACTGATTTTGTTGTGAAATTGAAGAATGTTGTCACTAATGTATTTTCTTGTAAACTAAGGCATCATTAGTGATCAACTTTTTTAAAAATTATTTATTTATTTTGAGAGAGAGAGGAAAGAACGCAAGCAGGGGAGGAGCAGAAAGAGAGACAATCCCAAGCAGGCTCTGCGCTGTCAGCACAGAACCTGACATGGGGCTTGATCTCATGAACGTGAGATCGTGACCTGAGCCAAGATCAAGAGTTGGACCCTTAACCGACTGAGCCGCCCAGGCGTCCCAATAATCAACTTTTTAAGCCAAACATGATAAATATAGTATAACACAAAAAAGTAAATTGTTTTGCAGATAGTTTATATGAGGCAGGATTTCTGTTGTTATTTCTTACTACTTTGGTTTTCCTGCCTGAGAATGAAATGTCCTTATCTTGTGTTTCCTTTTTAAGTTTACTTTTTACTACTCTCCATGCCCGACGTGGGGCTCGAACTCACGACCCAAGATCAAGAGTGGAATGCTCCGACTGAGCCAGCCAGGCACCCACTTCTTGTTATTATTTTCTTTCACGAACACTTTTTATTTAAAAAATTTCACACGTCTAGACAAACAGTAAGAGTGGCGCGTGGAAGGAATTCTTGTGTACGGCCCCCTAGATGCGCCAATTGTTAACATTCTGGTGCATTTGCTTTTGCCTGTGTTCCCTCTCTTTTATGATGTACACACACACTACATTTACACGATCTACGTATTTATACATTTTATTATTTTCTTTTGCTGGACTATTTGAGAGTGAGCTGTAGACGCGGTGGCCTTTCCCCTGAAATCCTCCAGTGTGTCTTCTAAGAGCAAGAATATTCACTTACATAAGCCACCCGTGTGTGTGTGTGTGTGTGTGTGTGTGTGTGTGTGTGTGTGTAAGTATAATCTTAGAATCAGAGCCCCTGGGGAGAAAACTTTAAGAGGTCACTGGCTCATTCCCCCGCTTCTTGCAGGTAAATCCCTACCGTACAAAATTGCTATTTTCCAGGCGTGATAGACCCAGGTTCCCAAGGGACCAGGCCTGTGATGTGCATGTGCGAGGGACACAGTCTGGGGCACTCCCGAAGACACGGATGTTATGAACCAACACTGCGCTGAGCAAAAACTTATCTGAGGGCCAACTCTGTCCCTTGGGTCGTCTGTTTGGCGCCCTGGATCTGTCTTCAAGGTTCCCGTGGGATGGAACCTCCACTCTTCTTTGGAGGCGCCTTGTCACAGTCCCCGAGTTCCCTCCGTCTCGTGACGTACTGGATCAGGTTTATGAGAGGTGGCGGTGTGCAAGGCTGAGGCGTGTGGATTCCAGCCTGTGTGTGTCGGGATCCCAGCCACTACTTCCCAGGGTGCTGGGGAAGTTACCCAGTCTTTCTGTGGCCTGGTTTTGGTGGGTCGTCCTCGCAGGGCTGCCGTGGGGAGGAAGTGGGTAAGAGGATTTAGAGCAGTTGACAACAGAGCCCAGCCGGCCCCACTGGTGAAACCCTGTGCGCGGTTACCACTCCCCTTGTAGCCCGCAGGTGGTGGAGGGGAGGGAGTGGGCCGCGGGGTCTCCTTCTCCAAGTCCCAGAGGAGGTGACGGCTCCCAGCCGGAAGGCCGGTCAGTCTCCTGTGTCGCTGTCCTGCCCCCTGGTTGGGCCCGCAGCCCCGGCCCCCTGCTCTGGGGGGGGTGGGGGGCAGCTAGAATGCGCAGCTATTTGTGGCCCTGGTAAGTTATTGAACATCTCGGGATCGTCTCCTGGTCTGTGAAATGGAGAGGACAAGGCGCACACCCCATGGGACTGTCGCGAGGGGTCAAGGCGTCCGTGGGGACCGCGGGACCGGCGGCTGCACTGAATTCGAGCTTCTGGCCAGAAACTGCGCGTGCCTCTCCAGAGCAGCCGCCTTAACCCTGTGTTCCCCTTGCCTGCCACTCGAGTCTCCCACTGCTGCCGCCCTGCACAGGCTTTCTGTCCCTCTCTCCCTGCAGGTGCCGGTACTGTGATGACCAGTGGGCCTCTCTCTGGCCAGATCAGAGCGGCGGGCCTCTCCTGTCCAGGATTGAGCCGTGGGCCTTTCTCTGTCCAGATCCAAGTGGCAGGCTTCTCTCTGCCCAGATCCGAGTGGTGGGTTTCTTCTCTTAGGCCCCTGTAACACGTTGAACAGTGAGGTCATCCTGCAACCAGGGGTCCAGGCAGGGGGCAGTTGAGGGACCGTGGGAGGAAGAGAGGGGTGGAGAAGCTAAGACAGGACAGACGGAGCATGTGGCCAAGAGCTACAGTGGATGGTCTACAGTGGATGGCGGGAGGTGTCCTGACAGTTACAAGATGAGTGATTTATTCACTGTAAGGTTTATTTATATATTTTAAAAGAGACAGAGAGAGAGTGTGCAGGAGAGCAAGGGAGAAGCAGAGGGAGGGAAGGAGGGAGGGAGGGAGGGAGGGAGGGAGGGAGAGAGAATCCCAAGCAGGCTCCACGCTGTCAGTGCAGAGCCCGACGCGGGGCTCCAACTCACAAACCGTGAGATCACGACCTGAGCCGAAAACAGAGTCAGATGCTTAACCAACTGAGCCACCCGGGCGCCCCCAAGATGAGCGACTTAGAACAAGGGCTGTGCTAGCAAAGGAAGCGGAGGGAGAGTAGTTGGAGGCGGTAAGGCACCTGTTAGAAATGTCTTAAGAGAGGGAAGTTACGTGAATATCTCAGGGCAAAAGAGGAAGCCGCTAGTGAAGGGCTGAATGAAGATGTTGAGCGGGAGGCAAGTGTGTCCAGAAAAAGAGCCGAGACCGAGGGGGTTAAGACTACGCACAGTGAGATGGGCACTGAATAATGTATATACTTGCTGGGGGGAGAAAAAGGAGCCCAGCCTGGAACTCAGGAAAATGGAGAGGGGTGAGCTTTATTAAGGAAGGGCACTTTTAGTTCTTCGGAGGCTGAGAGGGAGAGGAGGGGACGCTTGTACACACTTGGAAGGCGGTACAGGGGCCGGACCTGTCGTGGGGGCGCCCACCATCGGATATGTGTCCCTCCCGAATTCATATGATGGAGCCTTGCCCCCCACCCCCACGTGATGGTGTTTGGAGGTGGTGGGCCTTTGGGAAGTGATTAAGTCTAGATGAGGTCATGGGGGTGGGGTCCCCGCGATGGATTGGGGCCCTTGAAAGAAGAGGGAGACCCAGAGCCCGCTCGCTGTTGGCCATGGGAGGATACGGAGAAAGGTGGTCATCCACAAGCTGGGAGCAGGGTTCTCACCAGGTCTTGGACTCTGCCGCCTTCAGAGCCGTGAGCTGCCTGTACCCAGGCTGCGGCGCGTAGCTGTGCGGCCTGGGCTGGCCGAGCGGGTGGTCGGCGGGTCAGCCGTGCCCGGTTCGCATGGGGGGGGACGCAGGTGACAGGCCTGTGGGGTCTTCCGCTGAGATTGGGCGTACCTGTGGTTTTGAGCGTGAGGCCGGAGATGATTCAGAATGGCTGTTTGGGGGGCAGTTTGCTAGGGAAGCAGCAGGAAGCGAAAGCAAGGGGGTTACGCAGCATGTGGGACGTTGGATGTTGGACGGCGTGAATCTGCAGCGGCCCGTGATCTTTTTGTTAGGTCTTTTCTTCCCGAAGTGCTTTGCCGGAGCAGAGGAAGGAAACCGGGGAGTGGCTGAGGGTTAGGGATTAATAGAGCAGGCAGCATGGAAGGTTCAGGGGCCCAGAACCCAGGACAGGAAACGGCAGGTCTGACTGGTTGACGGCAGCAAAGGAGCACGGATGCGCAGTGAATTCGCCGCCGCCCACAGCTCGCGGGCCAGTTTGTAGGGCTTCGGGGTGAGTTCTTGACTCATCGGCCCGAGAAGCTTTGCCCTTTCCCCTTAGCGTAGTCAGGCTCTGTGCTTCAGGGCCGGAGAAAAGTAGCGCCTGTGTGGCTGGAGGGCATCAGACGAGCTGTTTTCCGTGGGCAAAGTGGGTCGTCCTGGCTGGCTTCACTCAGGGGAGGAGACATGGTGATCGGTTCTTCAAAGGGGAGCCAGAGGGGTAGAGAAGGCCTTTCCAGGCGGGAAGGAAGGACCTGCCCTTCTGACACGGAGCCTGTGGGTGGCAGGCCCCGGGCCAGCCGTGTGCCCCCTGAGTGCTCCCACCTCCCCAGGAGCACCCCCTCGCGAGCCCCGGTCTCTCCAGCCCTCTCCGCGCCGGCCCCTGCCCATCCGCGTTCGTGAGTGCCCACCTCCCTCCGGTCTTACGTTTCTTACAGACTCTTCCCAGGCCCCACGCCTCTGCCCCCCTCCCCAGACATCACTTCCTCCCCTTCGCTCCCCGGACCCATCCTCCTGGACCCCGTGCAGTCTGATTTCGACGCCGCCCTCCCTCCTCAAATATCACAACTGACCTTCCTTCCCTAAACCCATGCTCTCCGCAGCATGGGACACTGAGATGAGGCTCGCTTTCCCCATGTCTTTCCTCAGCTCCCTGGACGCGGCCCTCCGCGGAGTTCGCGCCTCCCCTCTGGCTCCTCTCCTCCGTGGCTAACGCGGGCCTCTTCCTCGTACCGCTGGGTCAGCGCAGGCCCTCTAGAGAGTTCCTCCTGGACCCCTGGCTGGTGTCTTCCTGCCAGCACACTCCCGTCAGAGCCCACGGCTTCGCTGCCAGAGCTGTGTCTCCGGCCCACACCTTCCTCCCGCTCAGGCCCTCCTGTGCGTCGTGTCTGGGGGTGGACGCCGCCCCGCCCGCCACCTAATAGTCAGCCCTTCCTGTGTCGTGGGGGCTGGCAGCGACCGAGGGCTCGTTGCAACCTGGTTCAGGGGCACCTGGGGGGGCTCAGTCGGCTAAGCATCTGACTCTTGATTTTGGCTCAGGTCATGATCTCACGGTTCGTGAGTTCGAGCCCCGCTCAGGCTCTCTGCGGACAGACTCAAACAATAAATGAAAAGATTAAAAAACAAACAAACACCTGGTTAACGCTTCTCAGAGAGGCACGAGGGAGAACAATTACCTTGCTGACACGGCGCAAGGTGATTCTCTCTCTCTTTCTGTGCACCTCTCAACGTCTGACTCGTGATGACGGCTCTTCCTAGCCGTCTCCAGAAATAGGGAGTATTGGGCTGATCATTTAAAACGTTCTGGTAGCCACAAGGAAACAAAAGGCAAAAGAGAAACAGGTGAAATTAATTTTAGTAATTGTTAGTCAACCCAATATGTCTAAAATATTGTCATTTCAACATGTGTCAATTTAAAAATGATCGGTGAGATATTTTACATTTTTTTGTGCGTGTGTGCTCAGTTTTTGAAATCTGTGTTTTACACTTACAGCCTGTTTTTGTTTGGGCTAGCCACCTGCGCAGTGCTCAGTAGCCAGACGGACGAAAGGGCCGCTGTCCTACACGCCTGCCCGCAGGCGGTTCCAGGTCCCCTCTCCACCCCCTACCCCCACCCCTGCCTGTGGTGTAGGGTAACCAGCTTTTCTTCAGGTCCCTCTGATTCTGGAGTTTCTTCAGTTTTCTTTCCTTTTCTTTCTTTACTTTCTTTTTAATGTTTTATTTATTTATGTATTTTTAATTTTTTTTTTAATGTTTATTTCAGAGACAGAGCATAAGTGGGGGAAGGGCAGAGAGAGAGGGAGACACAGAATCTGAAGCAGGCTTCAGGCTCTGAGCTGTCAGCACAGAGCCCGACGCGGGGCTCGGACTCACAAACCACGAGATCATGACCTGAGCTGAAGTCAGATGCTCAACCAACTGAGCCACCCAGGCGCCCCTGGAGTTTCGGTTTCCTGATGCACATAGCAAAAGGCCCGGAAGGTTATGGAAGGGCTAAATCTGTGAATACTTACCAAATCATGTTTTTGTCCCTGCCTTTCTTTGGTCTAATGTATACAGCAGCCAGTCTGATGTTACAACGATATGTTTACTAGTTCGGTGTTAGCCAGATTCACGGCACATCTTTAGGGACTTCTCGAAAGTATAGTCTTGTAAAATGCTTCAGTTTCTATGCACACCATCATGTTCAGATCCTGCCTTCACGAGGGACCTGGGCGGGAGAAACAATGCAGAAGTGTACAGACTGAGGTCCTCTGGCGGGTGTGAAACGTAGTCCACAGGAAGACGTGGCGTGTATAGTGGGCCGTGTTTGTTACAAAGGAAAATCAGTAAATGAAAATTAAGAATCCCGTCTTCCGCAGTTAAAGACTTTTGATTTTCCCCTCGCTGCTCATCCCGCAGCCTCTGTAAGTGAAGAAGCCAAACATTCTAATTTAAACTGTTTTCTCAGGGTGGCTCAGTCAGTTGAGCGTCCGACTTCAGCTCAGGTCACGATCTCACGGTTCGTGAGTTCGAGCCCCGCGTCGGGCTCTGTGCTGACAGCTCAGAGCCTGAAGCCTGCTTCAGATTCTGTGTTTCCTTCTCTCTCTGCCCCTCCCCTGCTCATGCTCTGTCTCTCTCCATCTCAAAAATAAATAAAAACATTTAAAAAACATTTTTAAATGTTTTCACAGGGCGCCTGGGGGACTCAGTTAAACATCCAACTCGTGGTTTTGGCTCAGGTCATGATCTAATGACCGCATGGGGCTCTGCACTGACAGTGGTGCCTGCTTGGGATTCTCTGCCCCTCCCTCTCTCCCTCCCTCCCTCTCTCTCAAAATAAATAAATAAACTTAAAAAAAAATAAAATGTTTTCTCAGTAAAATAGGGAGTAAGTATAACACCATCATTATTACCCAGAGTGGTAAAAAAAATATTCTAGTCAAGTGGGGTGCCTAGGTGGCTCAGTTGGTTAAGCGTCTGACTCTTGATTTGGGCTCAGGTCATGATCCCAGTGTCCTGGGATTGAGCCCCACATCAGGCTCTGTGCTGACAGCTCGGAGCCTGCTTGGGATTGTCTCTCCCCGCCTCTTTCTTTCCCTCTCCTTGCTCATGCTCTCCCTCTCTCACTCTCTTTCTCAAAATAAATAAATAAATATTTAAAAATTCTATTCAAGTGCATATTTGTGAAATTAAGTTAACATTCAAATATTACATCTTTAATTTTAATAATTTTAAGTGGAAATCTTTAATAATCTATTCTAAATCCCCTCTCTTCACATCTAAGGAGTACCGAATAGAATTTATACTTTTCTTAGGTTATTTGCTGAATTGAATTACGTCATTCTGGGGAGGGCAGGGGCATAACTAATATTTATTGAGTGTATGCCATTCAATAAATCTTGCATAATATAAAGCAAGAACTATGCTTTATATTATGATAGTTCGTATTATTTTACTCTTAGGGTGTTCCCCGCCCCTTTCTAAGTATTTGCACGAAGTCGCTAGGTTTTAGCCACCAGGTAGGCTTCTGCACCCAGAGATTAACCTGTGCAGCCTAGCACGTGATAGAGCTCAGATCTGAACCCTGACAATCTGACACTAGGGGCCACGCTTTTCAGTATTTTGCCACTAATGTGGACTTTAACACAAACCTCTGAGGGAGATATTATTGTCCCCATTTTACAGATGCAGAAACTGAGGTTTGAAACAGCTAATTAACTTAAAATCAGCTAGTGAGTGCCTGACACTTCTTTTTCTTACCCCCTCCCCTGTTTTCATTTTCTAGAACTTTCTGATTTGGGCTCGGGCTAATCCCCGCAAACACTTCTTTCTTCTCCCTTTGGTTCACCTGTCTGCCTTTTCCTTCCCCCGGAAAAGTATCTGCTGTCCTCACGAGGTAGGACTTAATTGAGTGACCCCGGTGCTACATCTGCCCTGACCTTGTTTAGAGAAACACAGCGCTTGCTTTCCAAAGTTTATGTTCTAAAACTGTTGACCACTTTTTCCGCAGAGAGATCGGAACAATTACCAGGTCGCTAGGGTGCTGCCCGAGCGAAGGAGAGCTCCATGACCTGATCGCGGAGGTAAGCAGACCTGGGGCAAGGGTGCGTGCCGCGGGCTCCCTGCTTCGTCCATTCCTGGTGCCTAAAAACCCTTCCCTGCAGCTAAGCGGGTCCTAAACTAATGAGGGTGCTTGGTGGAAACATTCAGGCAGCTTTACGGATCAGCCAGCCCACAGGGTCTGAACAAATTAATAGCAGATCTGGAACAAATGGCTTTGACTGAGGAACATGATGGCTCAAGTGAGGAGCCCACTTTATATTGTTTATACACTTTTTTTTTTTTTTAATGTTTCTTTATTTATTTTTGAGACGGAGAGAGAGAGAGAGAGTGCACACGCACAAGCGGGCAGGGGCAGAGAGACACACACGCAGAATCGGAAGCAGGCTCCAGGCTCTGAGCCATCAGCCCAGAGCCCGACGCGGGGCTCGAACTCCCGGACCGTGAGATCGTGACCTGGCTGAAGTCGGACGCTTAACCGACTGCGCCACCCAGACGCCCCTTATTTATACTCTTTAAACTTAGTTGAAGAAAGGCCAGCAGACAGACACAGGGGACTGACTATGTGCAGAGAGGATATTGGCACTGGAAAGGAATATACTGAATAATGTCACTTCAGAGGGGATAGAAGCGGAAACAGAGACTGGAAGAAATTTATATTTATTTGGGGGAAATAAAACCAACTTTCTGAGCAAGTAGTAAACACAATAATAAGAACTAACTTGACATTGACCGAAGAGTCTAAGAATTTGAAAAAATGGTTATTTGTAACAGTGTAGATGAGTCCCTGGAGAGAGTTATCCCGTAAAGCAGTGGTGAGTGGCCCAAGACCAGAGAGCTTCCTGCCCTGTTTGGTTTTCCAGCAAAGGATCTGCTCTAAATTCCGCACGCAGCTTTCAGTCCAACAAAGCGGGGGCCTGCGGGGAACCAAGCTCCCTGGGCCCCCACCACGAGAAGAACCTCTCCAGAACTGCTTTTGTGGGTGTGTGGAGACGGAAGATCAGGAAGGCAACTCTGATAGCCACCTCTTAGCATCTTGGTAACTAAAAGGCAGTACCAGTTTTTCATTAGCATTTAAAAATATTCAGTAAAGCACAAAACCTTTATGCTGGTGTTCCATTTGGGGACCCGGTGAAACTATTTTTACTCAGAGGAAAAAAAAAAAAACCTTATTTTTCCCAAGGGGGTCCTCATTTTTATTTTTATTTATTTTATTTATTTTTTTTATTATTTTTTTAAAATTTTTTTTTCAACGTTTATTTATTTTTGGGACAGAGAGAGACAGAGCATGAACGGGCGAGGGGCAGAGAGAGAGGGAGACACAGAATCGGAAGCAGGCTCCAGGCTCTGAGCCATCAGCCCAGAGCCCGACGCGGGGCTCGAACTCCCGGACCGCGAGATCGTGACCTGGATGAAGTCGGACGCTTAACCGACTGCGCCACCCAGGCGCCCCGGGTCCTCATTTTTAAAAATAAGGTGTTGATCGCTGCTTGACAGTGTTTACCGACAAAGTGAGAATCTGTGCTAGGGAGAGGAAAGTTGGCATTGTGGAGCAGAGAGGGACTGGAGGATGAATTTACAGTGAAATCGTAATGATTGCGTACAATTCAGTAGAGTAAGCGCAGCGGTAATGAAAAATGGCCCTGGAAAGATAGAAAAGCGGAACCTTTAGAGCCTGATTCCTTGATGGTTTGTTTGTACGTTTCAATCTGTAGCGGGGGTCCGCCAATCCCAACCCCTGGGCCAAATCCAGCCCACCTCCTCTTATTGTAAATAAAGTTTTATCGGGACACAGCTAAACTCATTTATTTACATATTGTCTGTGGCTGTTTTCTCACTGCAAGAGTGGAGGTTCAGTCCTCGCGACAGAGACCATATGGTTTGCAAAGCTTAAAATATTTACTGTCGGGCCCTTTCCAGGGAAAGTTTGCCAACTCTTGATCTGTAAGTTTTTCCAGCAAAGTGGAACAGACACCACGAATAGTGTCAGGAAGTCTACTTGCAAACCCCAGAGCTACCACTTACAGCTGTGTGGCCTTGGCTGAGCAGCGTCCTCTTTCAAAGCCTGGTCCCGCATCTGCGAAAAGAACGCAACAATAGCCAAGTGTCTTTATGAGGATTCATTCTGATCGCTGCAAGGAATCAGCTGTTCCCTGGTGGGCACTCAGTGTATATTTGGGTTGGCTTGCTCTGTAGGTGGCTCTCTACCGAAATGACCCCGCGGGTTTCACAGTTAATCACAGTAGATGCTCAGGCCCCAGCATTTTCTTTTGTATTTGTCCTTTGCTTAGGTACATTGACACAGCCTTTGAAAATTACACGTTTCGAACGGTTGGACCAAGAGGGATCACTGTGCGATCTAAGCCCTACATGTGTTTTTCTGTATTTGTGCGCAACAGTTTGTTCAGATTAAATTACAGCAAGATGCTTAAGAAGCTTAAGAATTATAGCAATATGCTATCTAAGCCCTACATATGTTTTTCTGTATTTGTGCACAACAGTTTGTTCAGATTAAATTATAGCAAGATGCTTAAGAAGCTTTGGGTGTGACTACCCTTTTTGAAGTTTCCCAAATAACTGAGGGGGGAAAAAAAGCACATAGATATTTGTAGGTATCAAATACATTAAAAAAAACAACAACAACAAAAAAAAAACAAAGCTCCAAATAGTGGGTGAATAAGGATGAATGTTGTATTGATAAATGCTCTGTAATGGTTTCAGAAATGAAACTATATCTGCTTCATTTGCTTTAAAATGCAATAATATAAAAAAATACAATCATGTGACAATGCTCTAAAATTCTACACATCGAAGGGCACCTGGGTGGCTCAGTTGGTTAAGCATCTGCCTCTTGACTTTGGCTCAGGTCATGATCTCATGGTCTTCAGATCGAGCCCTGCATTAGGCTGCATGCTAGGCGTGGAGCCTGCATGGGGTTCTCCCTCTCACTCTCCCCTCCCCCCTGCTTGTCCCTCCCTCCCTCCCTTCCTCTCTCTCTCTCTCAAAAACAAAAACCCACATCAAAATCTATGTTCAGTTCTCTAGTTGCCATTTACTTAAATTTCAGTGTAGATACATACTCTCAGCCCCTCACTTCCTGAGGAGCGATAGGAGAGCTGATGTCTCTCTTGAAATAGATCATTTAAATTTTTTTTTCCAACGTTTATTTATTTTTGGGACAGAGAGAGACAGAGCATGAATGGGGGAGGGGCAGAGAGAGAGGGAGACACAGAATCGGAAACAGGCTCCAGGCTCTGAGCCATCAGCCCAGAGCCTGACGCGGGGCTCGAACTCACGGACCGCGAGATCGTGACCTGGCTGAAGTCGGACGCTTAACCGACTATGCCACCCAGGCGCCCCTTGAAATAGATCATTTAAAAATCACTCCGCATTGATCCCTCTACTTCATATTCTACAATTAGCAACTTGCCCCAAATAATCTCTACCCGCTTGGAATATCACAAAACCCAACAGCGGTAAGAAGGGTTAATATAAATTTTATTGACATACAGGTTATTAAACCATTCTTCCTTTACTATGGAGTTAGAGCCTTCCAGGCTCTTCCGTGTGAGAGCTGGGGCCGGGGGTGGGGGTGGGGGGGGCATGGTGGCCTCTCAATACCAGTGGGAAGGGCGTGGAGAGGTATATGCGTTCAAAGTTCAAACTCAAGTGGAATTGTGGAGAATTTAAAGTAATTAGAAGGGAACACTACGAGATGTTTGGAAAATAACACCTATGTTGATAAGATTATTACACTGTACAGTGATTTTTTCAAAAGGCCAATTCATCAGGAAGGTATTAAAAATCATAAATGTCTGTGTTCCATAGATGGAGATTTTAACAAGCTTCTCAAGTAATTGATAGAGCAACTACATAAAATATCAGCAAAGATGGAGATAATCTCAACACCACCATTAACCACTCTGGCCTAACTGATATTTATAGGACACTACACCCATAATACATGTTCTTTCCAAGTGTCCATGGAATGTTCAATAGGATATATTAAGTGCTGGACCATAAAACAAATCCCAGTACATTTTAAAAAATCGAAATCATACAGGATATGTTCTCTGATTTAAAAAATGGAATGAAGCCAGAGATCAATTGAGAATAAGATAACTAGGAAGTCCTCAAATATTTGAAACGAAGCAACATACTTCTAAAACGATTCATGAATCAAAGAAGAAATCACGAGGGGAGCGAGAAAGCATTTTGCCCTGAACGTTGATGAAAATGCAACACGTCAAACGTTGTGGGATTCAGGGAAAGTAGTGCTTGGAGGCCAGTTTACAACTCTAAATGTTCACATTGGAAAAGTAAAAAGACCTAAAATTAATGATCTAAATTCTCATCAGGAAGCTAGGAAAAGAAAAGCAACATAAACCCAATATATAGAGAAGGAGAAAAATTGTGAAGAGCAGCAATCAGTGAACTAGAAAATGGACAGAGAAAATCCCTGAACGCAAAATACTAGTCTTTTCAAATAAAACTGATAAACTTGTAGCTCAGACAATCAACACAAATTACCAACATCTAGATTAGAGGAGGGTTTTTCATTATCCTTCAGACATTTGAAAACGATAATAAGAGACAGCTTTATGCCACTAAATGCAGCAACTTAGATGAAATTGACATGCTCACCAAGAGACACAAATGACCAACACTGACCCAAGAAAAAGTGGAGAATTTGGGTAGCCCCCTATCAGTTATGAAAATTAAATTTATAATTAAAAACTTTCCCATAAAGAAAACTAGAAGTTCAGATGGCTTCTCTAGTGAATTTTTTTTCAAACATTTATGGAAGAAATAGTACCAATTCTACCCCAAATTCTTTCTGAAAACATTACGGGAGGTAACACTTTCCAGGCTAGTATTACTGTGATATTCAAACCAGACAATTGTTTGTTTTACAAAAAAAAAAGGAAAACTACAGATCTTGTTAACATAGATGTAAAAAGTCCTTACTATGATTTCACCAAGTCAATTTCAACAATATCGTATAAAGGATAATACATCATGAGCAGGTGGAGTTTATCTCAGAAATTTAAGGTTGGCTTAACATGAATCAGTGTAATCTACTACATTAAGAGAACAAAGTCGATAAATCGTATGATCATTTCAATAAATATATAAAAAGCATTTGAAAAAATTCAATACCCACTGAAGATAACAATACTCAGCAAACTAAGAATAAAAGGAAACTTGTCAATCTGGCCAAGGGCAGCTGTGAAAACTCAAGGCTAAGATGACACTCAGTGTTTTCTACCTAAAATCGTGAACAAGGCATGGATGCCTGTGTTTATCACTCCTATTCATCCTTGTACTTGAAGTCCTAGCTAGTGCAACAAGGTAAGAAGAAATAGTAAAAGACTATTTTATATTTATATTATTTTCTATATTTATATATTTTTATAATATTTAATATAGTATATTTAATATTATTATAAAAATAATAGAAGTGAAACTATTTCTATGTCAGACAACATGATTTTTCATGGAGAAAATCCTAAGAGAATTACCAAAAAGCCACTAGAATGTGTGAATTTAGCCAGATCCTAGGCTACATGGTCAACATGAAAAATGAATTGTATTTCTTTTTTTTTCCAGATGTCTTCTTTATTTATTTTATTTTATTTTTTTAAATTTACATCCAAATTAGTTAGCATATAGTGCAACAATGATTTCAGGAGTAGATTCCTTAATGCCCCTTACCCATTTAGCCCATTCCCCCTCCCACAACCCCTCCAGTAACCCTCTCTCTGTTTTCCATATTTAAGAGTCTCTTATGTTTTATCCCCCTCCCTGTTTTTTATATTATTTTTGTTTCCCTTCCCTTATGTTCATCTATTTTGTCTCTTAAAGTCCTCATATGAGTGAAGTCATATGATATTTGTCTTTCTCTGACTAATTTCACTTAGCTTAATACCCTCCAGTTCCATCCACGTAGTTGCAAATGGCAAGATTTCATTCTTTTTGATTGACAAGTAATACTCCATTGTATATATATACCACCTCTTCCTTATCCATTCATCCATCGATGGACATTGGGGCTCTTTCCATACTTTGGCTGTTGTCGATAGTGCTGCTATAAACATGGGGGTGCATGTGTCCCTTCGAAACAGCACACCTGTATCCCTTGGCTAAATGCCTAGTAGTGCAATTGCTGGGTCACAGGGTAGTTCTATTTTTAATTTTTTTAGGAAGCTCCATACTGTTTTCCAGAGAGGCTACACCAGCTTGCATTCCCATAATTGTATAATTAGAAATCAATGGTAAAAAAAATGAAATCAAGTAAACAACTCCATTTAAAAAAGCATTAGAATAGAAGAGTCAATACATCTAACAAAATATAGGCAAGACTTATACACTAAAAACAGCAAACACTATAAAGAGAAATTAATTAAGATTTAAAAGGATACATACACATGTTCATGGATTGCAAAACAACATCGTTAAGATGGCAGTTCTTTGATGAATTCAGTATGTGTTCAAAATCATAGCAGGCTTTTTTTTTTTTTTAAAGACATTTATAAGTTGATTCTGAAATTTGAATGGAAAAGCAAAGGACCTAGAATAAACAAAATAATTTTGAAAATGTAGGGCAAGGGTGGGTGGACTTTCACTACCTGATTGCAAGATTCACTGCAAAACTACAGTAATGATGACAGTGTGATATTTGTGGACTGAAAGACATATAGACCATTGGGACAAACCAGAGGATCCAGAAATAGAACCATACATCTCTGACAAAGGTGCCAAAGTAATTCCATGAAGAAAGGATGATCACTTCAATAAATAGTGCAGGAGCAAATGAGTATCTGAATAGAAAGAACACAAAGTTTGTCGCTCTTTTTACTCCATACAGAGGTTAACTTGAAGTGGATCATAGACCTGAATAGATGAGCTAAAACTATACATTTCTAGAGGAAGAGAGAAAACCCTGTGATATTGGGTTAGCCAAACATTTCTTAGATAAGACATAAAAAGCATGAACCACACAAACAAACAAACACAATAAACAATGATTATCTTAATCAATATTAAAAGGATTTGCCCAATCAGGGGGCGCCTGGG